TAGCTGACGAGTCCCGATATATGTGTGTGCATGTGTTGTGTCCCAAGTCATAATGTCTGTATGACCTAACACATCCTTACATCTCACCTTGCTCAGATCCAGTATGTTGTTAAGGAGTCGTAACAGGGCTGTTGAGCACTTCCTAATCTGAGTAACTGTTGCATACTGTTCATTTGTAAGGCAGTCATCACAAATAAGAATGTCCAGCAATCCAATCACAGCAGCCATTGGTGTCCTTAACTCATGACTGTAATACACAAGAAAAGAAATTTATTCAGTAAACTTATTGGCCGTGTTTTTTTCCCTAAATTTCTTTATCTATCTCGCAGGAGAGAAAGATTTGTTGTTCTGCTTTTTGTGGTTGAGTTGAAAAAAAAAAGCTACTTCTTGGTGCATTGATCTAGACGCTGAGATCACTTGCCTCATGTTTGCTAGGAACTGGCTTTTGTAGTTACTTGATGCCTCTGCTCTTCTTCTTGCATCAAGTTGGTTAATCAGTTCTGCTCTTAATTTCATCTCCTTTGACACTCCATTTGTCAGTATCAAAATGCAAACACATCCGATGACTAGGATACATACAGATGCAGAAATTAATATGACCAGTGTCTTGAAGGCTCTCTCGTCTACCTTTCCCATTATATATTTTCTTGGGATGATGATAACTCCTACCTGCACAACATACATATAACTTACAGGCAAATCCAACAATACACAAAAGCATTTTATGGGCAAGCATTATATGATAACTTTTCAAACAACTCAATCCCTTCGTTGTACGTATATACTTTTGGAACCTAGTTGATGTATCAGTGAAATGAAAGAGGCTGAATGTGATTGAAACTCACAATAGGAAGTCTCTTTAGGTTTAGAAAGAATGAATCAATGTAGTATTGCTGGTTTCCAAGCTTGGCACTCTCTACATGAACCACATGACCAGGCGGAAGCTTATTACCATAGGCATTCTGTAGCCACTGTGCTCCCATCCTTATGACATTATCCTGAGAATCGGTAGCCATCATTAGCTTGGGCCTCGCTGTAGTATTGTTTAGGAGAGGAGCATTTGTGGAAGTAGCCAGCAAGTAACCCTCTTGAGAGGTCAAATATATGTGGCCACCATGGACCTCAACAAGCTCTTTCATTAGCTGGCCAACACTGTAAAGTGCAGTTGTAACACCAACAACAGCCACTATACTCTTATTGGAAGCATCACATACTGGCAATGCTGCCGATAGCAATGGTGAATCTGTATACTTGCTCACAGCCACATGCCATGAAGCTACACCATCAGGAACTTCAGAAAGGCCTGCAATGTTTATTAGATCATCTGGTGGAATTTGCGTCTGCTTTCCTATCTTCTCTCCAGTGACAGGATCAAGTGGTTCACGGTACCAAATTGCAGAATTGTTGCCATGTATGAGTTGATCATTCCACCCTTGACGCAATGAAAGTATGTCCTCATTATTAGTCGCACCAGCACTAATTGAGTAGTTTGCGATATCAGAGTAGATGTAGAATGTATTGTTGCTCCTGTGATCTCTATGGAAAGCTTGGACAAAACCGTTTTTGTAATTTATGGTTATGGCGTTGAGAGCTTTACGACTTGCAAACAGCGCCCATGTTACGGCCCTCATTGCTTCATAAAGCTAGTGGAAATCAAATAGAAAAAAGGAAAGAGTAAACAAATCAAAAGTATATCACCAAGCAGCCTCAAAACAATAACAAAGAGAAGAACTTGATCCCACTAATACAAAATATAAAGTTGTCAAAACAATTAATCAACCTCAACTTCTTCTGCTTGTGTTGCGGGCTTGTTGTAGCGTCTAATTACATACTCTGACAACTTAACCTGTGCAGTGGTTATCTCAGAGGTGGAATTCAAGATGTTCCACATTCGTAAAATAGGGCGCTGAAGGAGTTCATATCGAAGGCCATACGCTAAGCTGTTGAGTGATTGTGTTGTGTAGCTCCTTGTGAAATGCCATGTTAGAATAGTTAACAGCCCAATTAAAATTGCTAACATGACCTGCATATATGACACCAATTATGGCAAAGTAATTTTTCTTGTCAACAAAGGTAAAAGGGGCATAGAACTTTTAACGCTCTCACTGGTTTAGATCAACTAGGACCCAGATTTCAAATGTTTTCCAGAATAAAAACGACAGCCATATTCCAGGAAAACAGACACAAGTGGAAGAATTCAAATAGGTCATTCATTTTAGAACAGGTTCCCCTACAAGAGCCATTAATAATCATACTTACGAGTTCAATCTGATTAACCTCTAAGCAATCCGAAATCCAATCTATTTGAGACCAAAACAAACAACTTCAACTTCACATGAGTTTAACACAGTTCTTAATTCTGCTTATGTGATTAAATAAACCGAACTGATACTGTTGAATTAGTAAAGAAACATATAAACCAGAAAGGGTTAGAAGGAGAGAAATAAAAAAATTTAAACCTACCATGATGGCAAGCCGGACGACGAAGACGCTGTAGTAAGAAGAAAGACAGTGCGTGCTGGCATACTGAAACTCTTCCTGCTCCACGTCTCTGTGGAAAATCCTTCGACCGCGAGGAGCTGGGTTCCCTCTCCAAGGAGCAGCAAAATCGAAGATTCTATCGAAAACTTTTCTGAGAGGAGTACCCATTGGCGAGTTTGGAGCCGGGGAGGTCTCCGAAGTTGTCGAATAGGGGGTTTCGTCTGCTTTTTGCGCCATTTTTGATACTACGAAGTTCTACAATCATTAGTCAGAAGCAATCTGCACATGCATTTGTTAGAGAGAGAAAGAGGGAGAGGGAGGAGGAGTTCTTGGTGGGATGTTTAATAGTATTTGCTTCTTGTGTCATTTGTCATTTCCCACTTTTTGAAGGCAAAGGCACCATCTTTGTATTCTATTCTATTCTTCTTCTTCTTGTCAATTTTATTTTATTTTTTTCTGGTTTTTCAAAAGTGGGGAAGAGTGAGTGAATGAGTGAGGGAGTGAGTGAGTGAGAGTGGTTTTTGTTTGATTCCTCATCCATAGCATCTTTGACACATATCTCTTCTTTCTTTTTTTTTTTTTTACTCTTTTTCCTTTTTTGTTTTTGCTGCAATTACAGAAACCCAAATTCGACCGTTAGAACTTGAGACGATGAAAGCGGTAAAAGAAACAGAACTTTTGCTAAGCCGCCATGTCCGGCAGCAGAGCAAGCTACTTGGTTTTAACCTTGTTAGGTGCTTAGTGCACGATTGAAATGAATTTTTGGAGAAAAAAAGGAAGTGGGTTTTTAAGGTACAGTACGCAGTAGTTTTAAAAAAGAAGAAAGTTTAGATCTTTATCTGGTTTTCGTGGAGTTTCACGTGAATTTTCTTAGTGTTTAAGGTGCAAGGCAAAGTTTTTATCTATTACATAATATTTAATTTAATATATTTAAAATTTAATTCATTAGTATTTCATAAGTTAATTACATCTATTTCACTAATATTTCATAAGTTGAAAAATTTTCAATTAAGTATAAATTTTTTTTTTAAAAAATCTAATTTAATGAGTCAAACAGTAATTTACTTGATTGTTGGGGCCAAATTTAAGTTAAAAATAAATTTGCATTTACATTTGAATAAACTTAATTATACTTGACTTTAAAACTTGAATAATTTTATTTGCTGTTGAAATTGTTTTAGAAATTTAAGTTTTCTCATTATTATTATTCTGAAAATTATTGTCAAGAAGTCATAAAAGAAATCAATGACGGGATAAACAAATGGTCCACAAGAACCAATTTGATTATTGAGGATATCAATGTAAATTAATTAATTAGTGTATTAGTAGAGTTTTATGATTAAATTGAATTTAGTATTAATAAATTTTTTAAAAAATAAATCTTATGTAATATTTATATTTTTTTTTATTACAATGATATAAAATGTGAACAAATAAATATAAGATAAATTATAAAATTAATCTCTGAAGTTTTTTATTTTTTACAATTTAATACTTTTTTTTTTTGGGTTATAATTTGATCCTATTGTATTTTCAGTTTATTTCAAATACCTAGTTTCTTTTTATTTTTTTTTTTAAAAAAACTAAAATAGTTATGCTATATATGAATATTTTAAAAAAATAATTCAAAAAAATAATTTTTACTAATTAATTAAATTAATAAGTTTTAATAACTCGCCTATAAATATATAGAGTAAAATCAATTTACATATTATAGACTTACAATGAATTGTAAATAAATAAAATTAAAAGTGTATGAAAATATGTAATGATAAGAGTTAGGATTGGAATAATTGCTTAATTTCCATGGTTAAAACTTAAACTTAGGATTAAAGAGATGGTCACAAGAAACTTAAACTTAGCACTTCAAAAGTTTAAGAGATTTTTAAGGCAAGTGGTAATTTAAGAACAGCCCACTAATTCCAGAGACATCAATTGCTCATATACATACATACGTATACATACATATATACATGTATGTATGTATGTATTACACAGGGAACGTACAATTTGTGTGTATGTATATGTATATGTATAGATATAAATGTGTACAATATGGGCGGCTGAGGGAAATAATATTGGGGGGGGTGCAATATGTGGATTGACTTGGCATTAGCTTCGTCCTCTAGAATCCAACTTTTATGACTCCACATCACTAAACACAAATCCACCAACCTTATAAATCTGTTCGACGAGACCTCTTCTTTTTAATATAATATAATATAATATAATAATTTGTATATATAATATATGCCCAAAATGTAACTTATTTTTTTCTAAAACCGACCATTATATTACCTCATTACTATTTATTGGACCTTTATTTTATTTTCTGAAAAAGAAAAGGTGCTTGAAATACCTTGAAGGTGATGGTTCATACGTTAAAGTTGCAGAGTTGGTGCTCACCCGAGGCCATTTTTATTTGCTTAGCTAAAAGGGTTAGCTACACATTTAAGAAATATTATCATCATCATCATCGTTGTCGTAGGTTCATTGTTTATTACATATATATATATATATATATATATGCATGCTTTTAAAAATAAAGAAAAACCCGATTTCATATTATGTTTAAATATGTTTTTAGTTAAATTTTGATGGAATTAATTATTAAAAGCTTTCAAAAGATCATCATTCCCTGTCACATAAAATTAAATTCCCACCATAAGATAATATTTCTATGAGTAACTTTATATTAAAAGTTAGCCACCCACGTAGTCTTGGTTTTAGTAAATAAGTTTAGATAGGGTTTTGTAGTAATTATAATTTAATTAATAATTAGAAGTATATATGAGAAAGTTTATTTTTGGTGTCAGGAAGGAGTGATGTGATGATGGTGGGTGGGTGGGTGGGTGGATGGATGCGAATTAGTAGTGGGAGTTATCTTGAATTTTATTTTGCTGTGCTTCTGGGCTGTAAACACATTTGACAAATCTATCTTGGTAGATTTATTGACAGCGAGAATATCTCCATTATCCACACATTCGTGAATCACGACCCAATCTCTCTTTATTATTCCAGTCGTGAATTGTGATAAACTTTGACATATTCTTAAACTATTTATGCACAAAGCTTTTCAGATTTATCTAATGCTAACAAAAAAAAGATTACTCAAGAGGGTAATGGTATTTATTGACTGTAATTATAAATACATTACCGACGTATAATATTTTATTTAATAAAATTAAAAATTTATTAAATAAAGTGAGACAGACACTACATATGTAAGTGTTGAGAAACTGGTTATCATCAGAATCAGACAAAAGAATCAACTAGAAATGGCCGTAAGAAAAAGGGCAATTGAGAGCATGATGCACAGATTATGGGGTGGTTTCTTTCTGCACTGGTGGGAGTATTTGATTCGTCCCTTGGAGCTTCAAAAAGTTCAAAATGGGTTATTGAGGAAAACTTGTGGCGCAAAATTAAAGCGACAAACTAATAAAAACAAAACCCAACTCAACCACCATCACATCAATACCTTCCCAATCCTCTGTGCCTGCGTGTGTGTGTGTGTGTGTGTGTGTGTGTATATATATAAATACGTATTGAGTGGTATTCCCACAAGTCAATTTTAATTTTAATCAATGTATACATTATCTTTGTTTATTGGGTGTTTTTAGATGTGGATTGTGATGCTTCAGGACCCACCCAGAAACAACTCAATGCTGCACCTGCGCTGCCAAACACGGTTTCTAGACGTGTGTAAGTTACATAAAAAAAAAATGGAGCACAAACCCGACATAGTTGAATTATCAGGTAGGAGAATACAACCAACATAGTTTAGAATTTTTTTTAAGTGATCAAATAAATTTTTTGCAATGCAAATACAAGTAAAGACACAACAATCTTTAAATAAAAGCACTAACGATAAGCTCATACAAATTCAAACCCCGTAATCTCTTATGGAAAAGAATTGAACTCTTACCATCTACAAGTACTTTTAGGGTGGTTTAATGTTGGAGAAATCAGTGGGATGTTTTTGTGCCATCCAATTGGTGCCAGAACACATTTTCTCTGACACTGCCATGGATATTTTGATGTTGTTGATATAATTAATCTTCGGAGTAAAACAAAGGTGTCCCTTCAATTCTGGTAGGAAGTGATACATGTGTGTTTTAGGCAAATACAATAATACAAAAAGAAGGGGAAGTATTTAAACTTTAATAACAGCTGATTAAACTACCAATTATCTACATACCAAAACAAAAAAGTTTGGACAAACTCCCGAGGAAAAAATGATGTTTAACCCTTCACTAGTGGCTTTGTTTTTTGATATTTTCTTTTTCTCGGCAAGGAATATGATAGTTCACTTAACTTCACTGTCAAAACCAGGCAAAAGTGGTGAAATTTAATATCATAAAGAGTGTACAGCAAATGGATTCCAAGCAATCCCCCACTTCTTTCCAGGGAGAGAAAAAGAATAGTAAATAGGGCAAATCAGCAATTAGATTACCCGTTTTGAGGTCACTTAAACAGTGAAGTAATCATAAACATGCAAAAGCCTGCAAATAATGCACGAGTGTGTGTCAAATCACAACTTGCTCAAACTTTCCTGGCCAAGGGTTTGATTCGGACATGGAATCCTAGACCAGTAGCAAGATAAACTAAACACCTAGAAGGTTAGCTTTCTAAATACGCTGATCACAACAAAAGAACCAGAGAGTACTAAAAGGAAGTGCCACAAGGACTCTCTTTGTCGATTCTAGCAATTCTTCGAGTGCCCAGGTAACAGATCCATATAAATATAACTAATTTATGCGTAATCATTTCCATTTGATGTCAAAACAACAGCCTAGATAAAATTACAATTTTGAGAGGCCCACAAATTTGCTGATTCAAATATACTAGTTCTGTGAAACAGACAAATCAATGATGTTGAAGAATAAGAAAAATAAGGATAAACTTACAAACAACATGGATACCTACTAGACGACAATATCTACAACATCTAACAGCTTAAGTTCCTGTATGGCTTATCTCAAAAAATTCCTGCACGGATATATCTCTAAACAGTTGGAGAAAACAACCACGTTTTCAACACTGGCCTACCTCTAGTATTCACTTGGAACCCTTCTTAGCTTTCATCTCAGCAGCTGCATCTGCAGCTTTAGCAGCAGACTTGGCCAGGGAAGAAGGTTTGAAAACACTTTTTGGGTTAAGTGCCTTTCTAATCTTAAATGCGGTCCATGCAGTCCCTATAGCATGCCCTGCAGCACCAAGCCCTTCATTTGTGGCTTCAGCCGCCTTCTCTCCATACCTGCAAAATGATTCAATTAATGTCCTCTTGATTCCTACCAAGTAATCATATAAGCAAATCCAAACATCCAATCATCTGTCTGCATCTCTAAATGCAAAGCAGGCCAAAACAAGTTGTCTTACGCAGACACCTAGTTATGGACATGGATATAGCATAGCAACCTTTAGATAGCATCAACAATGTTTGGGGTGAAGTGCAGATTAAGTATTATTAATTTTGAATATTTATGAGATCATGTAATTATCCAGACATAAACTCCATTAGTTGCCATATATAATCTTGGACATGGATATAGCATAGCAACCTTTAGATAGCATCAACAATGTTTGGGGCGACGTACAGATTAGGTGTTACTAATTTTGAATATTTATGAGATCATGTAATTATCCAGACATAAACTCCATTAGTTGCCATATATAATCTTGGACATGGATATAGCATAGAAACCTTTAGATAGCATCAACAATGTTTGGGGTGAAGTACAGATTAGGTGTTATTAATTTTGAATATTTATGAGATCATGTAATTATCCGGACATAAACTCCATTAGTTGCCATATATAATCTCGGGTTTCATAAAAGGACATATCCTCAGGTGTATGTGTTTCTTGATATTTTATAGCTTAATTTTATTGCTATTGTTCTTTGATCCTTATATATCCAAGGACTTTTACCTGTGGTCAACAAGTTCCGTGGTCACAGTGGAAGATGTTGACATTACGTTCTTTCCAGCTACTTCAACAGCATCACATATCTTGTCTGTTGAATTTTAAAATAAAAAAGAAAGTGAGATTCAAAAACAAGACAACAGGTTGGATTAAATGTAGAAGGTACCCCATAAAAATTCTCTCAACTGAAATCAGCCATATATTATTTATTCGATCATCTAATTTCTAAATGACATAAAATGCACCTCACTAAATAAATTGAAATGTTAACCTTGTAACAATAACCCCCAATTAGACAGTTATGAGATTATGCAGAGGTATCTAAAGAAAAAAATGTCAGTGACAATATAAAACAAAATCTCTGGTAAGCATTGATATAATCCTTAAGTAAAAAGACAATACAATGATCTTAGATGTTAACATTTCTTGAGATGAAACATTGTGAATATCCCAAGACTATGACACACTAAACCAGCTAGCCACAGAGTTCAGACAGTTCAAAAGAAATATTGTCATCGCGTTAAACATGGATGTGTGCATATGCATTAGCATCTTAAATAATTTCCACATCTTAAATTTATGAGATTAATAAGTGCAAATGCATAATAGAGATTACATGAAAAATTCTTGCCAACCAGTTCTCGAAGTGAACAAAGGGACAAAGAAAAAAAAAAGGCTCTTAATCTCCCTATAGATTGTGTGAGTCTATTTCAGTCCATAGACTTGTCAAAACTTGTCAAATATAAGGGTGAAAACAGACTGCACAGGTCAACCAAAAGAAAAAAGTGAACTTCAAAACTTAATGCAAGAGTTACTTAGATTTTGAATAAAAGATTTGGTTTCTCAATATTTAGAAGGTACATATTGTTAAAAGGTGAGGAGAGGGAAGTCCCAGGGATAATCTCCTACAGTTTCACGAGTGGGTCTCAAAAATATAAATGAAACCATAGCCATTAAATTAAAACATGTTACTATCTCAAGTCATAAATCCAGGCTTCGTAGTGATCTACTTGATCTCAAACATCTAAAGATAAAAACCTAATTCACAACTTCTGCTGAATTCAACCAAAAAACCATTTTTCCTACTAATTAACAAGAAAAGTAAAAAGATAATTTAAGGTTTTGCTGAGTAAGGAGAATATGTTACTAAAAGGCACTAATAGAATACTTTCTACAAACAACAATTGAAAGGAATCACAGTGTAGAAAATCTACAATGTTCCCAAAATCAGGGTCATCAAGCATAGGCACCCTCCAAACAAAACATTAAAAAACTTCTATATTCTTTTCTTTCCAAATAATCCAAAAAATAAATATAAGAATGAGAGTGAGGAATTTTTTCTTCGATTTACAAGTGCATACACCCAACAAAGCCAAATTTCTCCAGCAACAGATCCCGAAACAGCCCAGGACAAATTGAGACATAAAAATCTCAAAGTATTTCAGCCTCCAAGCACCATAGTAAAAGATAATTGGGAGATTCCAAGTCATGAAGGCATGAGGGGCACCCTTTGACAATCATTTTGCCTCGTCTCCTCAAGTTATCTATGTTCAAATTCTATTCCGTGCTGCTTCCCATAAGGGAAAAAAATGCAATTCCAGAAGAAACCTTACCCTTCCCTATTTGATAAAAATGGGACCTAAATGCCTTAATATTATGATTATACATATTGTTATAAATAGACTTCATAGAAACCTTCCGATCCTTGGTGAGAGGTCACGTAGGTCTATCTTCCCTTGGAAGGTTTATTTAACACTTAGAAAGAAGAGTCATCAGAGTCAACAAACTCTTCAAACTCCTACTAATTAAGATTTCTAAAGAGTTGAATGTTCCAAGCAATCCAGTTCCTTTTTGCCTGGCCAAAAGATAAACACGAGGGAAGCAGCTTTAAACAGTCTATTGCTGCACCACCTATCATTCCAAAAACCCATAGACCATTCATTACCAATCTTGAAAGCCACCATGCTCATATAGCAGTCCCAATCCAATCCTAGGTTACCTATCTCCACAAACTGGTATTAGTTCTCTTATCCCTACTTGAGTTTTATATTTAGCCTGAATCACCTTCCACCAAAGCTGCCCCTTGCTTTATATTTCTAGAGTAAATAAATTATAAGACTATTATGATCTTGATAATCCTTGTTTAAATTCTTAGGAGTCATGAAGATTTCCTTATATAAAAATCATGATTAGAAGTCAAAGAGAATACTCTGATGAAACAATAATAAACAAATGAGTAGTCCAACTAGATCCTTAATTATATTCTAGAAAAGGAGCAGGAAAAGGAATAAACAAATAAACACAAAAGAAAGAAAAAAGGCAAACACCATCATACACAAATCTAGAGCTTCTAAAATGAAAATCTAGAGGAATGAAGTAAAAGCCAACTATAAGGATATCCTGTTATAATGTTAGTAGAAAAAGATAATAACAGTAAGCCCGATCTAGAATTTTCTGTGTACTCAGAAACTAAGAGAACAAGAACAGTGTTCGGAGAAGGAAGCCAGAAGCAGACTGAGAAGAGGAGGAAAGTATTACTTATGATATTGAATGGCTATTATACAGTAAAAATCAAACGGCAACATAACAGAGATGTACAGGAATAATTTTAGATAGCAAAAGGTGATATTCAGAAATTATTTTAGGCATTATTAGGATATGTAACTGACATGCAACCACTGATATTAGAATTCAAAAAAAGGATAGGATATGTAACTGAAATGAAATGGCAGAAATTGGAACAAAAAATTTTAATTTAAAGCTAGCCAGAACAACAGATCTCCAGATAAGCTATAAAAAAAATAATACAAAAAACTAGCCTTGCACAGGCTTTGTGTATAGCTTGTGCACCTGGCAGAGGGAGGGAGGGGCAAATCCACTACTTCTAAAGCTTCAGTCCAAACTCATCCACGCAAGCTCACCATTCTTTTCTAGCTTTTTATAAATCCAAAGTTAAATTTTTGTATATAAAAGAAAACAAAATTCATTTGTTAAGGGACGTGGGATAGAGACTTTTGAAATACTTCCAATACACGTAATGCAGAATGAATTACCTATACAGATTATAAATCACAATTCTATTTGTACAAAACTATCACTCTATTTAGGAGTCCATTATTATAGTTTTAGTAACTTCAAAATCTATTCGTATTTGTATTTTGTTTTCCTATTTATATTAGTATTATTACCTCTAATCTTATTAGTATTAGTATTTCTTCTTATTAGGATTAATATTTCTAATTTTATTAGTACTGATATTTCTTAGTCTAATCTTACTTGGAAAAGATTCACTTGGCACTATATAAATACTAACTTGTTTTGAGATCATTATTAAGTTATTCAATAAAATACTTTGAGAGGTTATCAAATTTTTAGTAGTGTGATGCAATCAACTTTAAGTAAGATGCTTAAAACTTCATGTTAAGAAATTCTAGATGTGATGTCTAGATTTTTATCCACAAAATCCTGTATAGGCAAATTAACCTAAATTGTCCTACATCAATGCAATATATGTATATGTAGTCATGGATAAGCAGAGACTAAGAAGCATATATAATTGACTTACTAAATCCGTCCAGAGATGCGAGCACAATTTCCCCAGGAAGGAGACTAAAGAATTTCTTTCCCACTTTTGAATTTGCCACTGAACTGGTGAAAAAGCCAGAAACTTTCACAACTCCGCAGAGAACACCATGGGCAACTTTCTCCGTCATTTTTGTCATCTTCTTAACCCTATATCAATAGTCAAACCAAAAAATTACTTAATGCAGGCTTCATAAGAAACCCCCTTTTGCGACGATTATGTTATATGTTGAAACTACGTCAAGAAAACTGATATCCTGTTCCATAAGCAATTTGAACATTTCCAATGCCTAAGCATAACCCTTGAAGGAATGGAGTAAAGAAATAGGGCCACAGCTCCAACTGGTGAAAAGAGATCGTCTAGAAAAGAAACTGAAGAACTGTTTCAACAGTTCCAGTTTTCTTTGATGAGAAAAAAAGGACACGAAATTACAAAATTATAAGCATCAAAAGCCCTAATCGCCTGTAAATATCAAATAACAAAAATTCAAACAGAAAAAAAATCAAAATCAAAATTTCACAAATGAAATCCGGGGAGACGGGGAAGCAGAAAGGTAGTAACATGTTCACATCCTACATACCTCTGAATCCTCGCCAATGTCTCCGGACTGATCTCCTTTTGCTTTTCAGCGGGAGTCATCCTTCTCTTCAGGACGTCATTGCCCCAGTTCAACCGATCCACAGTCACATCTCCACACCACAAAATACCCTTGATCAGTTTCCCTGACCCCGCAGCAATGAACTTGGCGCTTTTCCCGCTATAGTCCTCCACATTGGGCGCCAGAGTTGTCCAGTAGGCGGCGCACCTCTCCTCCACCAACTCCTTCTTCTCTTTCAATTCCGCCGGTGAAGTCTCCTTTACCACCGAGATGTCCAGCACTTTCTCTCCCTTCCGCTTTGCCTTCTCCGACACCTTCTGCTCCGAGAAAAAACAGTAACTCCCCAAGATCCGGTCCAGTTCCTTCAACAACGGCTCCTGTCCTTTCGACAAGATCGTCAGCCCGTAGTTTAACATGTTAACCTCAATATTGGACTTAGACTTTCCGTATTTTCCCTTATCCTCATCATCGCTGGAATCCAAGTCAGATTCCTTAGGCAGAGGGAGGGAGAAGAAGTAATGAGAGCCATCGAGCTTGACAGCAGCGGCGTCCTTCGTCAATGGCCACTGGATGTCATCCGCTACTCGGACAAGAATCGCAACATTGTTTTGGCCCTGAATGAGGCGGAGGATCGTGAGATCGCCGCAAGCGAGCTCGAGGCTGTAAGACTTGTCGATCAGGTGAAGAATAGCGCCGGGGACTCGGATGAGAACCTCCTCCGTGGCCGCCGGCGGGGCTGAGGGAGAGTAGTAATCGTCTTGATGGGGAAAGAGATTCTCGACAAGATCCTGCATGTCAATTTCTGGATACAGTTTGGAGGAGGAGGCAGTGGTGGAGGTGGAGGAGTCAGGATGTGATAGGATAACTTGCGGGTAGAGGGAGGGTTTGGGTT